AGTACTGGCTACAAACCGTCCAATCTGCATGGCATCCCTGGCTACCTGGGCCCGCGCGCAGGGCCGGGTCTTCCCCCCCTGCCCAGGTGACCAGAGCATCGCCTCCCAGGCGCCAGGCTTTTGTCTGCAGACAAGGAGCGAGATCCCCGCTGTGAGAGATTCAACAGCAGCCTCTCGGGCTGGCTGAGACAGATCTCTGGAGAGGGGCATCGACGGGGCATTTCTGCCACACTAATCTCTCCATAACCTTTTTTCTTTTTTAATTTCATGGCACCCTAGTTGAGAGCCACTGTTGCACTGCCTCAGTTTACCTCAGTGTTTCTCAACTTGGTGCTGCTGTTGCTGCCACAAATCAGGAGGAACTGCCTCACTTGCCTTGTGCAGCCAGATAAGCCTAAAGCAGGCAGGAGTGCTTGTTCCCACCACAACCCTTCCTGGATGGCCCCGCATGCTTCTCCTCCAAACAGAGGTTCTGAGGATAGTTCTACCTGCCCCACGTGCCTTTCTCAGAGAAGCAAGGGAGGCTGAGCTGAGAATCACTCGTCTACACAGTGTCCACAAGTGACGGGACAAGAAAAGAAATGTGTTAAAAATTAGAAAGAAATTTTTAACTATGAGTGTGGTTAAGTACAGGATTCAGAGCATTTCAATGCATATCTATCCATGGCCTAAATAAATCACCTCAACCAACTTTCCTCTATTCAGTTTTAATGTATTCAAAATTCTAATAAAATTACTGAGTTGCCATTTTCTTTTGCTGATTACATTACAATGCTCTAGGAGTTCATAACAGGGCTGTGCAAAGCTTTGGGTGGCGATTCGATTCGGAGAAGATTTGGCCCGATTCAGATTCAGAGATTTGGCTACCGAATCGAATCAGGGGACCAATTAAAAGGTTTGAATTGATTCAAAGCTCTCCAAATCTTAGGAAAAGATTCAGAGAGCTTTGATGATTCGGGCAGTCCTGGGTGGCTGCAGCATGGAGCTGCAGCCGACTCTGAGCTGGTAAGTACTAGGGGCAGGGGGAGGGGACCATGGGGGGCCCCCTGCCAGCCCCCAGCCCACCCCCTGTGGCTGCCCCACCTGTCTCAGTTCCCAGCCCTTTAAAGAAAACCCCAGTGCTCACCAGGTGCTGCCAGGGGAGGGGGGAGGGGGGCAGCGTGATCCCTGCTGCCCCCCACTGTGTATGGGGGGGGTCTGCACGAGCCCCCCAACCCCCCCACAGTTGTCCCACCCAATGCAGCACTGGCCCTTTAAGAAGAAACCCGAGAAGAACCTCAGGACTCTCCACTCCTGCAGTGGCCTCGGGGCTTCAGGGGCATCGTACAGTGCCCCCCACGTGGCACGGGGATCACCCCCGCTGGCAAGAATGGCAAGTATGGGTTTTGTTTTTTGTTTTGTTTTGTTTTTTTTAAGTGCTAGGAGCTGGGGCAGGCTGGGCCTGGCTGATTCAGCGATTTGGCAGCAGATGAATCATATTCGGCCGAATTGATTCAGGACAGAGATTCAAATCACCAAATCCTGTCCCCGAATCAGCCGAATCCGAAGCAAATACTAACCACTTCGCACAGGCCTAGTTTATAATAATTCTAATATTATATTATTTCTACCACGTACAATAGCCTCCAAGCAATCCTGCTGCGGAGAACAGGAACACTATCGTGGAACTTTAAAGCTCAATGTATGTTACAAGATTTTAAAAAGAAACAACAATTTCTAGATTATCAACTGAATTTCTACTGTCTCTTCCCAATCTTCCTTGGCCACAATAACTAGTACTCATTTCTCTGTAAATAATTCATTTAACTATTATCTCAAACAATTTTTTTTCATGCCTTGGAGAATACACTATTTGCTTCAGTTCTTATGACAAGTGTGGGGTCCCCCACACTCGCAGCTACTCTACCCAAAACAAGTATAAAATATAGCCCAATATAGCTCTATGCCTCAGGTCATTAAGTTCAAGTATTGATAAAGGCTACAGGAACTTTGATACATGTATATGAATTAAGAATTTTTAGTAGCTTTATCAAAATATCCAAAACATATTTGCTTGGCCTGTACTTTCTTTGATGGATGAACCAGTTTCGATTTTACACTGGTCTTACAGTAAGAGCATCCTGTGATTGGATTTCATGATTCCAAGGGCTACGTTTTATTTTTCCCTCTAATCCTGCCCCCTTATATCCCTCCTATGAAAGCTCATGAAAACAATAACTTTATTGTTAATTGTTTTATTGATGGAAAAGTTTCCTCCATAACAATTTAAGCAAACACTCTTTTGAAAGGAAGGTAGAAGATAAACAAAGAAGAGTACTCACCGATATAAGAAAAACTTTGACACCCTGGTCCTCTGTATCCATGGCTGTGATTCGGATACTTTTTTCACTGGCTTTGTCAATCTGCATCTGGGCCCAGAGCTTGGTGTTCAAGATTAACCTGAGACTCCCCTGAGTCCGCATTACTAGAAGTAACATCCAAAGTTAGCAGAAGACAAAAATGGATATTTAGGCACACCGTAGAAAGTTCAGATTAAAGAAAAAAGTTCTGAAAAGAGAGTTCTTAAACAGAAGAGTTTTCTGTTCATACAGAATGTTTATGGTATCAAAACTAGTAATAAGAAAGGACCTAGGGGAGAACACAGAGAAAGCATTCCTAGAAAAATTAGATGCACTGTACTTCATTAAAGTTTTCAAAAACACATATGGAACAACAGCTGTGCTGGCCTCTATTAATACATCACAGATTAGTTATGGAGAAGTCCAGTCCTTAGTGAATATAAGATCATTACCTATTGTACATAGCTCAACACAGTCAATTCTAACAGGTAATCTCAGACTGGTGCAGATTAGTGCCTTATTTGACTAAAACCCTGCGAGTTGGGCCCAGTAAACATACTTTAAAACAATGGTGACATTAACATGCATTTCACATGATGGAGAGAAACACAACTTTAAGTAGCTCTCTCTCCCCCCAACCCCAGTAGTCACAGCCCAACACTGCACACATATTAGCAACTTTAACTAGCTATATTTGTAACATACACCTCATTACTGACTTACCACAAAATATGCAGGTGGGAAAACCAATAAGATGACACCTACCAGACAGGTCTTGATTTCTTCTACCATGTTGTGGACTGGTATCAAGCATATTTCATTTCTTATTTAGCTATTCATGCTACTAAATTGTAGAAATGAGTACGATAGTTTATACCCTAAACCTTTACCTTATCTCTAAAAGCCAGAAGGGAACCTGTGAGAAGACGTTTCTAATAAAAATCAAAACCACAGAGATGCACTTTCGTAAAGATAAATATTATGTGGTTAAGAAAGTAAGCGTACATGATGTTATATAAACTGCTACCTACCTACTGTTCGGTTTATGCATACAACTTGCATATAAAAGGAACTAGTATTCAAACAGAAGTACTTCATGCAGTGGTATAAACAGCATTTTGCTAACTGATTCAAGAAGTCTGTAATAGGGTCCCCTCTTTGCTTTAAAAAAAAAAAATCTACCAATTAAATCAAGTGTGGAAGGCCTGTAAGGCTTTCCCCTGCACTTCAATTTTATTCCTTCCTGACCTACTATAATTTAAAAAAAAAAAAAAACCCCACAGTAACCCAAAATGAATGATACCAACTAACAAGGAAGCATCCTGTGGTTATGACATAGCTCTCGTCTTACCCAGCCGAGATTGTAACGTCCCATCATCCGTTGATGCCATATCATTGAGTCTTAGAAGTCCTCTACCTCTTTCCACCCAAGACTGAGAATTCTTATCAAACACAAACAATTTGCATTGAATCTGCAACATAAAAAAATGCTTCCTTGCTGAAGATATTCAATGTAATGTTTAACTAATCACAAAATATACATAGTAACAGAATCTCCCCCCTACCTCTCCTTCAGCTGACTGGATAGGTTGAGGGGCTCCCTGAGTTGGGTGGAGGGCAGTTTGCCTGGCTCTGGCAGGGGTCCCACTCTCCTACAGTCCTTCGTGCAGATGTAACAAGTGAAATGCTCCAAAATAGTATCTAATTTAAAGAGTATTATTTTTGAATGCTTCAGCCACATCTGGAACATTTCAATAGGGATTACTTGTTTGAACAGGTAGCCCTTTGGAAAGTTGCAAAAGGTGTTTACATTTTTCACTTGTAATGTGTGTTTGCAGCTGAGTCTGATGTCTCTCTACTTCAACTTGCAGCTGCAACTTAAGCACATTCCTCTTGATCCAATCATCACCCTCTGGGAGGACAGTGGTATGTTATTAGTGTATCAAAGAATGCAAAGAGCTCCAGCAGAAAGAATGGATATCTACCCTGCATCAATTGACAGCAGGCCACTATCCATCCACACCACTACTGTTGTTTCTTTCCCCAAAATTACTCTGGATCCAGATGGGCTGGGCATTTGAGCTGGATCAGCTTTTGGCTGAATTAACCTGAAAACAATTTTTGGGCAAGTTAAAAGTTTCTTAAAAATACTGGGTGGAGACTATCCAGTTGAGATGCACCCAGAGTGGGCTTTCTTCATAAAAGGTAGATCAGACTATTATTAGCGTCAAAGGAAAGAAAAAATTAGATTTATGGAAGAAACCACCGCAGTCATCTAGTCTGACCTCATGGTAACATAGGCCATACATCACCACTGACCAATTTCTATATCAGCTCCATACCTTCTATATGACCTACAGCAAATGTTTTCTGATGATACTGAATATATTAAACACTAAGTGAAAACAATCTACTTTATAAATATACTACCTAAATAACTACCTAATATATACTACCAATATACTACCTAAATAAGCTGTTCCAAAAATCAACTACCCCATGAAAATGTACAGTACATTTCTAATTTAAATATCTCTAATGCCTTCCTTTTAATTCTTTCTTCATTCAAAAGAAAAAGGGTTTGTCGTTTGCAACTTCTAACCAGAAAAGGATTGTTGCTACAGTCCCTGGTCTGAATACCTTTTGGTTGTTCACTAGATGTAAGAGGCAAACTTGTAAGATGAATGGTCCACCTGCTACTGATCATACAAAGATAAGCTCCACACAGCCCAAGAAGCTTTCTGAACACACATGATCTTTGCAAAGCTTGGTATCAGGATGTACCACACACTGGAAGCAGGGGAACAATGAAGCAAACTAACTTGAGGCACTTCTTTAGGATGCAATTTTGTTATTTTAATAAAGGCAGACATAAAAAAATTGGTTTGGTTTGTAAAATAGCTTCAGCATAGACTTGTTAATTTCTGCACAATTCACCAATTTCAGCTCTTATTTTATCATTTACAGTATTAAAACTGACTTGTAGGTACACAGTTCTTACAACCTTTAGCACATTTTGAAATCTGATGGAATCAGCAAATCTTTGTGGACGGAGTAAGTTCATTCCTAGTGTCCTGAGACACTGATAAGAGAAGCTGAATGCATCAATGAAAAAAAAAAAAAGAAATCCATAGCCAGTAGAATTAAGAAGAGCGAGACAGTGATCTATATACACTAGTAATGAAAAATTCAAATTCCAACACCGATGACCAAAAAGCAGATGTGTTCAAATTTTTGTTCTGCATTTGGAAATAAATTGAATGATACAAGGACATTTTTTCTATCCTGAGACAAGATGTCAAATATTTCCAAATCATTCTGAGATGCAAGAGCACCCAACTTGCATCTAAAGCTGCTTGCAGACATCTAAACCCACAAAAAATGCTCTTTATCAGAAGAAACAACGCATTACTTCAATCCAGCTCTGCAGCATCTGTATAGATCAAGCACTTCAGTGGGGCTTTTTGGTGCTTTTAGCTAAAGCTTATTCAATCGGCTATTAGATAAGAGCCCCAGAAAAGCCCCAGTGAAGTATCTGATCAATACAAACATCAAGCAAGCCACGTCAAATTAATGCGCTGCCTCTTCTAGGCATGCACTGATCTCAATGTGGAGATGCACTGAGTTTAAAGTGCCACTTTTTTTTTTTAAGCAGCCAAAGAGTTTAAAATAATTGGGTGATGAACTCTATTTATATGGATTCCTTACAGATGTTGAAATAGTGGGAAGTCCTACCCAGATTACTGGGTGGGGGAAAATGTAAAATATCCAAATATTTTTAAAAAGTTAAATGGAACAGAGTCCCTTATAGGTTGGTTAGTTTGACACTGAACCCAACCAAAAGTCAAGAAACAGTTATAACAGGATGCAACCAGACAAAGAAAATAAAGTAACACTACTAATACTTAATACTGAGCTTTATGAACTAAGGGGGAAGTAACTGGACATTTCATAGCTTTTTCATTTCTCTATGTTCTTCAAGAGTTGTCCCACCCTCTCATTCCCTCCTATCGTAGGAACTTCTTACACCGTTTAGCCATTACTTCAGGAAATGGGAGCATGTTCACCTCCATACTGAAGAACTATAAAAATGGAGGGTGTTCTGTGTACCGCTTATTTTTCTCTCCAACACATACCAGGAGCTTTATGTATGCCTCTTCTTCCTTTCTTCCGCCCACCCCCAGTCTTATTCTCCTCCTCCCCAATTCTTCCCCACAAATAATGTAAAATATTTATAGAAGGGATGTCCAAATGGTACCTCACTGGCTGAATATGGTCTGTGCAACATTAAAATACAGCTGTCACAGTTGCCAGAGCTGCTGCACTGGCAGGATTTTGGAACTCGGGCAGTAAATGCTGAAGTTTGCCTCCCCACCCACCTCCTTCCTCTACCACCAAATTCAGGTTCTTTAGTTGCTGCTGGCAACTCAAATAAGCAACAAAAGAAAAGTTGCATGTGTTGGGTGCTGGGGGGAGTGGCAGGAGTGTCTACCCCCTGGGTTCCAGATTCACACCAACAGACTTCAGCAGCTGCACCAACAAGCCACCACCTGTGGTCTGGACCATGAAAAGCCCTACAGGTCAGATCCAGCAAGCAGGTTCAAATAAAGTCTGACAGCCCTGATTTATGACATCACAAGTTTGTCAGGAGACTTGGCCATGGTGACCATCTACCACAAATGTCTGATTCACATAAATCCAATCATAATGGGTTTCAAGACTAAAATTTTTGCACTAGACAAAATAATGCACTCTACCTTTAAAAGATCATAAATTGACTAAGTGATAACTTCAAAAAGTAACTGTAAACAAGGAACAGCTAAAACATGAGGGACTTGTTAGTAAGGTCCCATCCAAAAGGGATACTGCTATTTAGTATCTTTATAAGTTATCTGGAGGAAAATATAAAAGTCAACCTTCACAGAAATGGTGGATAATAGATTGATGGAACAGTCAATAACAATGGGAAAAAGACAGTTCTACAAGAAAAAAAAAAAAAAAAAAAATCAGGAATATTTAACAAGATGACTCACTTAAAATGCACTTAATAGAGCCAACTGTAAGTTCGTACATTAAGGAACAAAGATGCACCATACTTCTAGGAAAGAAAACTATTTTTAAATTCTGTGACACTGAAAAGGACCTGGGAGTTAACAATAGATAAGCTACTTGAATATGGTAGTAGCTGCTAATACACTAAGGGCAAGTGCAATCTTGGATATGTAAGTAAGAGTATCAAGAAGTAAAATGATAGTATTACCCGTGTGTGTAGCATTAGTGAGACTACAGATTACTAAAGTATCAAATCTAGTTCTGATGTCCTTGCTTCACAAAAGGATGGTGAAAAATAAGATGGACTTCAGAGAGTTAAAAAAAATTATTCTAGGTTGGAAAAACAACATATGATTAGTGAGAAACTTAAGCAGCTCAATCTAAACTTAAGAAAAGATAAACTAATAGTCAGGCTCTCAATGGACATGAATGGAGAAATTACTGATAAATCAATAGCTCTTCAGTCTAGCAAAAAAGGCAACATTTAACTGAGGATAAACTGCCACTGAAGCAATTTACATGGAGAATCTATCATATTCCTATTACTACAGGTGCACTGATACATCAGTCGGATATCAGATCAGCACTGATATAAAGAAAATTGACTGTCGGAAATCAGCCCAATGTGGCTGATAAATGGCCCGTGCATATGCACAGCTATAGGCGGCAAGGAACACGTGGAGAGCTGTGTGCAGCTAGTAGGTCTGTTGAGGTGGAAGGGAAGGGGTGTGGTGGGGGCAGATCAAGGCCTCCATGGTAAGGGAGGGAGTGGGACTGGGGCAGGGCGCAGAATGGAGCCATGGCTCGTCCAGGGGGCATGGGGGCAGTTCTCACTGCTGCGCACACCCTGGGAGAGCACGGGGGGGAGGGGCGGGGGGGTGCCCCCGGATCTGCATGGGGCCCAGCAGGATGGGCTGCCACTGCGGGCTGGGGCCGGGGCTGTACCAGGCTCTTCTTGGGTGGGTGGTGGCAGTGCTGGGAAGAAGATTGGGGGGCTATGGCAAATTTTGGGGTGGCTGCAGCACCCCCTCCCCCCGAGCTGCC